AAGAGTTGTCTTGAATAGTCAGTGTTCGGAGTCGATTCTTTAGGTCAAACAGACGCCTGGTGGTCGTGTGGTGAGGGGGCGGTGCGCGTCATACGTATCAGTCGATCCCGTGGCGAATTGGTTCGGATGGCTGTTGATACGCTGTCGCAGTTCGGAACCCGGTCGGTAGGTGGCGCCCACAACTCGCTCGCAGCGTGCAGCTCTGGGTTGTCGCCGAATCGCGATGCTCACCACTCCGGTGGCAGCAGAGACCCCCGTCGGCAGCAGAGATTGACGAGCTGAAGATGAGTCGAGCCGACCCGCTGGTCGCAGCTCGCTCCTGAGTCGACCCTCCCGGTCGAGCTCGCTCCTGGGTCGACCCGCTGGTCGCCCTCGCTCCTGAGTCGACTCTCTGGTCGCACTCCTGAGTGGACCCACTGGTCGCACTCCTCCTGAGCCGACTCCCCCGGTCGCGCTCCTGAGTGGACCCTCTCGTCACACTCGTTCCTGAGTCGACCCTCCCGGTCGAGCTTCTGAGTGGACCCTCCCGTCGCACTGGTTCCAATGCTCAGGATCCTTTACTTTATGCCGAAAAATCCCCCTGGATCCCGCCCACAAGGCGGGGCTTCTTTTCGATTTTTGCTGTGTCAGGATCTGTCCGTAGGCAGGTGTGTCCATGTGTCTGTCCGTATGTCCTTGTGTGCATCACTGACGGTATATTCGTTGTCACACTCCCTCCATAAAACCCACGAGCAAACAATCAGATGTTACAAATTGCCTCGAAGTCGTCTCTCTGTCTGGGTGCAATATTATCTCTTGTCTGGCCTTCTTCATGACCCAAAACACAGACGTTACAAATCGTCTCATAGGCGTCTTTGTTCGTGTTGCACAACCTGGAGGGAGGGGCAACACTCTCTCCGACCCGGCGCACAAAGAAATGGTTAAAAAGTTTTAAGTTAACATTTGTCCCTTACTATTTCACAGTTATGATTCTGTATGTAACCTAAGGTCTGTCGTTTCCCATCGTGGTGCCCGACCCAAGTGTAGGTGTTTCCCCGAGCGTACACACACTCCTATCCCGCGCTGCAGGGATACAAAGACGGCCGGGATCTCCCTTTCTCTCCGACCCTGGGTTTAACATCGTTTTTTTTATTATGTATTATATTCGACCTGGTTGTGATTCATCCCGTTATCCTGGCTTTTCCATAAGTTTTACTTTGTCTTTTCATGCATATACTTATTACTATTAATTTATTTCCGATATCTTAGGTTAAGGGGTAAGTTTCTTGATCCTAGGAATTCGTATTCCTTGGTGCCTGGATGGTTATATAAGCGGAATATAGTTTACGGTGAATAGCGTTAACATTGATGTTATGTGCGATATTATGTATTGTGATGTCTTTAACTTAACTTGTTTGTCAGGGCTTTACTGACACGAAGTTGCATTCATAGCCCGCAGTCTTTGCCCCACCCTATCTCTGCTCGCCGTGGTTGTTGCAGTCCAGCTGCCGTTAATTCAAGGCCTCATTAATTTCCGTCACTCCTGAGTAGGTGAGGGCGGTTGAACCTTGGAGTCAGTTCTGGTTTTTGTCTGCCTGCTTCTTCTTGTGTCCCCTGACCCCGGGAGTTATTATTCTACTTTATGGCCTGTCGAAGCCCCACTCGCTGTTGCTGGGCTGGTGTTGTTCCCGGCTTTTTGCTTACGTTTGCAGTTCGCCGTGCTCTTAATTTCCTTCCCTCGTCAACCTTATATCGACTATTCGCTCCTGTCTGGGTGCGATTCAATTTTGACTTAGGAAGGTTCTGATTGTCATATGCTTCGGGTCGAGTTGTATAGAAAGTATTGAAGTATGGAAATAACATTTCATATTGACTTAATAATGGTGATGGTTCAGTAGGCGTAACTTGTGGCCTGGTTTAATTGGAGTGGGTGTGAATATCGATAACTTTAGCCTACCCTGTTGTTAAGTTCCGACTTTAACGTTACTTTAATAGCAATACAGAATAATTGAGCTTTTTGTCTTAACTAGGCGAATGCGAACTTCTGGTGACCCCCGCAGCCTTGTTATTCAGCTGGGTCTTGTCCGCCTTGAGAGATATACAACACTCTTTTAAATCACCTCCCCCCCTGTCCAACCTTCTGCTCTGGGAGTGTTATTCTTGATTCCAGGTCTAAGGCCCCCCTCACATCCAGACGCGCAGGGTTGTTTACATCAGCTCCCCCCCTGTGCACGTGTTCTAACTACCTCGGAATCCCTGAACACACAATCAGTGATGATTCCTGGCTTTCTGTGGTTGTGATTTAGACAAAGGCGCCTCTGTTTCTTCCATTGCCTTTGAGTCGACACTGCCCTATTATTTGCCCATGTGCTGAGGTCATAGAATTCGTTTTGACTTCAGTAATATTAACATTCAGTATTGGATTAGCAAATGGGCAATGGTTCATTTATGTAGCTCGCAGCCTGGTCTCCAATTTGAGCGAGCGCGAGGATCGATAATTTAGCCTACTCTGTTGTTGAATTTCGAATTTTGACGTTACTTTAAAACCATGCAGGATGGTTGGGCTTTTTGCCTTAACTATGTCTGGCTGACACTCCCACTGTCTCTGCCGCCTGCACGGGTGACATGTGCCCGTTCATCAGGCCTTATCTTTCCTTGAAGCAAGGTTGCAAATTCTGCCATCCTAGCCCTCCTCCAGTTCATTACTTAACAACACCTGGTGTTTTGCAGTTTGCTGCGCTTGGTGTGTTTCAATCATTAAAAAAAACAAGTAAAAAGATAATATATAAAAATTATCAAATATTATTAATCTCAATTATGGAAGAAGGGTTAGGATACAACAGCTGTTCCCATTTATACTGCTGAGTGGACAGAGGGAGGGGGAATGAAAAAATATATATTTAGCAGGTAAGGCTCACTGAGCTATGCAGCTCTTTTTTCAGAAGCAACTTGGCCACATGATAGCTCAACGAAGTGGCTAATTACATAAAAATGCATAGCAACCAAATACTCCAAACGTGTGTTGATTATAAATGTGGAGGGAAAAACAGGAGGACCCGGAGAAAAATCCAGGTGACCACAGGGATAAGATGCAAACTCCAAATATACAGGCGGCAGGGTCGGGATCGATTCCATGACCTCCTGTATACTAGGCAAGGTAGTTAACATCTCACCACCATGGTGCCCCATTCTCTGACTCACCCACCCACCCACTCACACACTAACTTACCCACTCAACCTCCTACACTAACTTACCCACCCACCCACCAGCCACTCACCCAAACATCCACCCATTCACCTACTGACTCACACCACTTATTCAAATACCCATCCACTCACACAATGACCCAGCCACTGACTCAGCCACCCACCAACTCGCCCACCCAACCCCCATTCAACCACCCAACCACCAACCCACCCATTCACTCACTCATCCACTCACCCACAAAACAAAAACTAAACTGTTTTTATTTTACCAGGTAAGGCCTACAGGGCTATATAGATCTTTTTCAAAAGTGACCTCTGTTTTTGTTTGTCCCTGATGTGCACGGGTGATCCTTCCTTCGTAATGAATTTTACTCCGCAGTTCTTGGAATTCAGGCGCTATCGTTGTCCCTGGAGAGTGAAACGTCCGGGTTGAGGCAAAGACGCGCGCACAGGCGGCAGCAGTACAAAGAGATCGGAGCCCACTGGGACGTTGGTGCCCTCTGGTGGTTGTGGTGAGTTTTGTGTGCCTGGCAGGTTTTATCTTTATACGTGACTTTACCGAAAGAACCAAAGAATAATTCCTGCAGTCACGAAAGCTCCAAAATTAATATTGAACCACTTCTACGGGGAAGTTCCAAGTTTACCTTTTTTCTATCTCTCTGGGTTTTTTATTCTC